ATTGGTGGCGACTCCTCGAACCTTATATTTTTATCGTAAAGGAATTTCCAATTTTTCGAAACGAGAGGTTTTCTAAAATCGCACTGTTTTTTAATTAAAAATTCAATTGAAAAGATAATAATTAAAAATGACGCGGTTTCCAAAATCTCGCCCTCGCCCCGTACGGTTAAAAATCGTTTCGACAATGTTCTTATTATGTGTTTTAATTTACGGTTGTTGTAAACTTTCATTGTAATTTGGACATTTTTCTATTTTTAATAAAATAACTCATTATATCTTTTCAAAACAAACAAATATCAATGATTAAAATAATATACAATTATAATATTTTAAAATACTAATGTAAGATTAGTGAGAAATTAAATAATACTAAAGTATGGCTTTTTGCGTTTTTTCTTCTTTAGAGTTTGTGTCGTTTTATATTGATTATATCATTTTTTTCTTATTTGATTTTGTTTAGCCGACGACGACGTCAATTTTGATTCTGTTTGTCGATCGTCGGTTCTCTTTTCTCTTTGTTTCTTTTTTAGTTTTTAATAAGAATAACTCTGCATTTGTGACACGTTTTTCGTCTTCTTTCTCAGTCGTTTAGCTGTTTTTTTATTTTACGTTTTCTTAGGGTTGGATTTGACATCATGGTGGCTGATCAAGATGACACTTATTTGTAATCTTGTTGATTTTCCCTACAATGGACCATCGAATTGAATTTGGATACATGATTTTGCATTAGTGGATAGCTTTTCATGAGGCTCGGCTCTTATTTGCAGTTCTATGTGGTCTTTCAGTAGCTTAATCCTCTTTTGTAGTTCATTTGTCGTTGCAGTCAGATTTGTTTGTATTTTTTTATTTGGGATAATTCATGTGCATTTCATTCTAATAGTATCCAAAAGAAAGCATCAAAACTGCAACATACAACCAAATATAGAAGACACCAAAATAGTTTCCCCCACTTCAACAAATCGCATGCCTAACTAAATAAACTAGCAAAGGCAACAATTATCCTATTCCACACTCTAAACAGAGCTGCATATTCACACTGTCCAATTTATTAATACAACATCCCTGCAACTTAACACAAATAATTCCCTTAACACACTCAAAAATATCATCAGCTGACTAGGATATTCCCCTAAAACACCTATAGTTACGCTCATCCCATGTAAAATATAAAAACTTCAAAATGCAGACAATGAGGGATTTCCCCTTCAAGCTCCCCACAGCCCAAGCTAGAGTATATTCCCAACATAAAAGCCTGCAAGGCAGCTTGCACACTCGCATGATCCTGCTCCAAATGTTATAAGAGAATGGAGAATCACAAAAAAGATTATTCCTATTTTCCATCCCTTCATAACATATGACACAACCATCTTCCACTCGCATTCCCATACGATTGAGTATATCCTTAGTTGGAAGTCTATCTAATATGGCCATCCAAGCAACTGTAGAAACCTTAGGAATATGCAAAGGGAACCAAATCAAACTCTCTCATAAAACATTTTCATTTCTATCATGAATTCTCTCTCAAATACATCCACCATTTACTTCATTCCAATCCACCACACCGTCAAATAAACATGCAAAGGGAACCAAATCAAACTCTCCCCTTAAACATTTTCCATCATATATTGAATTTCTCCAAAATCCATCCACCATTTACTTCATTCTAATCCACCACACCATCAAATAAACCACCAACCTCACTTCTCAACTTTAATAACTTCTTTAAGGTCCAACTATAAAGAGACCTACAACTCACCAACAAAAAATCCTCATATTTCAAGGGATTTTCTTTAACCTAGGCCACCAAAAACGAATCCTCCCCAGCTAAGATATTCTTAACCAAGAGCAAGTAACAAACTTTATTCCAATCAGTCAAGCATCTCAAACTCAAGCCCCCTCTCACAATTAAGAGAACATACATGCTTTCAACTAACCCTTGCTCCCCTAGTTGACAGGTCATCACCCTTCCAGAAAAAACACATACAGAGTTGCTCCACCTTTTGGATCACCACCTTAGGCAAGATCAGCTGCCTACAGCAAAAGTTAGAAATACTAAACAAAACATATTTAATCAGTTGCATTCCCCCTCATAACTCAAATTCCTCCTAGACCAAAGGTCCAACTTGCTTTTAATTCTATTCAACAATGACAAACAATCTTTCTCATTCAATTTCCTAGTAACAAGTGGCACACCAAGGTACCTAATAGGGAACATTCCTAGTTTAAAGCCAACATCAACTTTAATTCGATTTAAAACATCCACATGTATTCCACTAGTAAATAATTTTGTTTTCCCCATTTTCAGTTGTAATCCCGACATTTCAATTAAGCATACTTACCACCCCCAACACCAAGTCCTCAGATCTATGACAAAAGATGAGCAAGTCATCAGCAAAATAAAAGTGCGTAAAGGAGATTCGCTTACACTTATGATGAAACTTAAAGATCCCACCCTTAGCTGCAGTATCCACAAGTGAGAGAGAACGTACATGACCATTAAAAAGAGATAAGGCAAAAAAAGGTCATCTTGCCTTATCCCTTTGCCTCCTCTAAAATATCTCACTAAGCTGCCACTAAAAGCAACAGAAAAACGGATTAGTGACACAAGCCCTGATACACTCTCTAAAAACCTCCAACAATCCCAAAGTAGCAAGGACACTCATCAAGAAATCCCAATTGACATAATTAAAAGCTTTCTTCAAGTTAATTTTAATAGCACATCTTGGAGAAAGTGACTTACGAGCATACCCTTTAACCAACTCTTAAGAAAGAAGAGTCAACAATGCTTCACCCTTTAATGAAAGCAGATTGATTCGAGAAGATCATGCCAGGAAAATAATCAGCCAATCGACTTACAATAATTCGAGTGATGGTCTTAAGTACCACCGAGCAACATGAAATAGGACGAAAATATTTAGTCATTCACGTATTAGGTATTTTAGGGACCAACACAATTACTGTAGCATTAAAAGTAGGAGACAACGAAGCAATCTGAAAAAATTCCTTAACAGCCCACAACAAGAAGATATCCAAGGCACTACTACCCTAATCGAAATAGCTAAGTCATCATGCAACATAACATCAACATATTTAGGAATCGTAGCACCCACCCCAATTTCAACACAAATTTTCGTGTATTCTAACCTCTTTTTAGAAGCAGTAACAAAATCCATAGAAAGAGGAATGCCTATCACACTAACAATATAACTCAAATTTGTCTTCGAGTAAAGTTCCAACGCACGTTATACAAATGCACCCATACATGCATCTTCGTAAGATAAAAAAACGAGGCACTTTATATTAGGTTCTTGTTTCCTAAGGATTAGTGGCTTATTTTGAATATGCCAAAGTCCATTCTCCAAAACCCAATCACGAGCAGCCTTAGAAACGAAAGGGAAAACATAAAGATTTGGCCCAACCAAACTAACCTGAATAGGAGAACCCTTCGAATCTTTCCCCCACAAAACCTCCACAATTCGCTGTATAGAAGCAAGATTCGGAACAGACCCAAGCAAAATCCACTAGATAGCTACCACTCTGAAATCCCATCCTCAAAAATCTTAGAAGGAGGTTGAATAAGAGGAACACCATCATAAACCACCGGTGGAAAAAACTCCAAAGTTTGTCGTGTCGAACCCCCCAAACAACATCCTCCTATCCAACTTAGAAGAATCACTCATGAAGTTGAAAGTAAAAGAACCTCAGAAATCAAAACTTGGAAATCCCGATCAAAACCCATCGAGCAGTAACGAAAATCTCAGATTCCATTAGACATGCTAATGTGCATCCAGAGAAACCCGTTAACATGTGCCATCTCTCTTTCTATCTGTATTTATTTATTTTTCATTTGTTCAAGTATTTTGGTTGGGTTTTTAACTTTTTTCATGTATAGTTCTTATATGATATAAAGTGAGTAGTTTTAATGTTATAAGAAAATATCCAAATTATGTATTTAGTTTACGATAATAGTTGTAATTTTTTAATATAATTTTGGATATTTTCACTTTTTAATAAGAGTAACGATTTTTGTTTAAAAATAAATAAAACTGAATTATGAGGAGTGAAGGCACGATGTCGTTTTTAATGAGAGTGGGGCGTAAATATACGGTTACCTGACCCATGATTCCGATCTAGATTCTGTATATTTTAGAAATAAATGAAAATATAAGTAAAATTAGAAAAAAATATAATAAAAATACTTGTACTTGAAACGCAAGATACTCTGGGCTTCTTCTCCAGCTAATTAATTAATTAATTAATATATATATTTTTTATAATATTCTATTTCTTAAATCCCTTGACTGCACTTCACGACCCCATTCTATTCTATTCCCATCTGTTTCCCTTTTTGAAAGGCTCAATTACTTGTATAAGATCACAAGAGATTTAATTATTTTTTATAATAATTCGAGGATTATTTAAATTTTTAGATTTTATTGTTATATATATAATATTGTTCTTATAATATTTATTATCATTTGAAATAAATATATTTTGTAATTATATATACACTAATTATTTATCCTAATTTATAAAAATAAAATCACAATCTTATTTTGTTGAAATTGCTGCACATTCATGATTTGATGAATAAACAAAACTCATTATTTTTTAGATTAAAAATTAATTTGATAATTATCTTACAATTATCTTTTAATGAAGTGTTTGACTCATTTTTTATTCATATTTTAATATGAAAACATACTTTGATTTATTTTCTTTTTATAATTTATACCAAATAGTTTTTTTAATTTTAAGGGAATAAATATTTAAAACAATTAAAGTTTTTTAGACTTAAAAAATGCAAAAAAAGAAGAAGTGGTGAACGTGGCAAATACTATTGACTATTCAAGAATCCTTTGAAGATGTTGAGCAGTTGCCCTAAACTAACACTCTACAGAATAAATAAAAATCGAGAATTATTTAAAAAGAAAAATCTAAGAAGCGTGATTGCAGCGTAGCTCTAGCTATCTCTTTGCCTGTTTCTTTTTCGCGTTTCTTAACTCGGCCAACTCGGCGATTCGCTGTTCCCACCTTTTTATTTACTTCTTTTCGCTTTTCCCACGACATTACATTCTCCTTTAGCACTCAAACCCAGGAAAAAAGTTTTTTTTCTTCTAAAAATCTTGTGTTTCCCCCCCTAAAAGTGAAGAGGCAAATAGAGTGAAAATGGGGGTTGACTACTACAACATTCTGAAAGTCAGCCGTAGCGCGACGGAGGAAGACCTGAAGAAGTCCTACAAGCGGCTGGCCATGAGGTGGCACCCGGACAAGAACCCCGTCAACAAGAAAGAAGCGGAGGCTAAATTCAAACAGATTTCTGAAGCCTGCGACGTCCTCAGCGACCCGCAGAAGCGTCAGATCTATGACATCTACGGTGAAGAAGGGCTTCAATCGGCTGAATTATCGAGCCCCAATGGGTTTAGTGGCGGCGGCGGTGTCGGTAGTGGTAGAGCCTACAGGTTTAATCCTAGGAATGTTGAAGATATATTTGCTGAGTTTTTTGGAGGGTCGGAGAAGAGGTTTAGTGGAGACAGTGGGGTTGGGAGTCAAGGGAACAAGAAGGCGGCGCCGGTTGAAAGCAAGTTGGTTTGTAGTTTAGAGGAGCTTTATAAAGGTGGTAGGCGCAAAATGCGAATTTCCCGCACCATTGCTGGTGAATTTGGGTCAGTACGTGCACTTAACTCTGGGTTTATTGTTTCATCATGAAAGCTTTAAACCATTCTGGATATGATAAGTTTGCATGTTGATTTGTTTTTTTTAATCTGTATTTATTTGTTGCTTATGAGATCTGGATTTTCGGGAAGAAGCAATCTGAGAAAGGGTGTTGATAATTCTTCAATTCTCTGGATAGTCAAGGGAAATTCCTTAGATAATTAGAGATTAATTCCTTTTAATACCCCCCCCCCCAAATATATATATATATATATATTCGAAAGCCATTAAACTTAATTTAGAATTTGGAATTGAAGAGATTAATTCTTCAATGTATATATTCCTTTGATGTGGAAAGATTTCTTTAAAAAAAGAATAAAAGGTTTGACTTCTACTCACGTTTAGTTCTTTTTGAAGTTGAACTCCAGTTTTTGGTTACCAATTCTTTTTCAAGTTGATATTTTGTGCATCCTCTGTAAATTGATGGTAATTTGGGAATATCCTCAATCCAAGTTGAATTCAAGATCTCCCATTTCCTGTTTTGATAAAATTTGTGTTGACAACATCAGAATCTGATTGCTAAACAGATCAGTTGACTGCTGTAGAATTTGCTGCATATCAAATTATCCATAAATGAAACCGTTATCGATTCCTTGGATTTCTTTTTCATTGGCATGTTAATGCTCCAGAAATGTGTCTGGTTGTTGCTATGACACGTCAATGGTTAGAGAATGAATATTCGGTGTTGTCTTTTCTTCTTCGGAAAGGATTTTCAGTCGTGGAATATTAAGGCAGTTTGTTTGTTTGCAAGTTTATTTTAGACCGTTCTCATCCTGTCATCGTTTTAGAAAATTCCTGCTTCTTCAATAGTAAAAATATTAAGTCACCTAAACTTGTCAATAGGAAGGCAATGTGACGATCAGGTTTGGAACTTAAAAACTCGAACCTGGATGTTTGTTAATATGTTTTAAGTTTTTGGGACTGAAAAACGTAAGAAGTAAATCATTTTGGAGCCAAATTATGTCTTTTTTCACCTCTACTTGAATTTTTTTCATCACTTAAATTATTGGTTGGAGCAACAACTTGAAATGATTTGCTTTAATTGTCCCCCCCCCCTCTGTTTGATGTACAATTAACTCTGTTGCAGTAAGCCGAAGACGGTGGATGAAATATTGAAGATAGATATCAAGCCTGGCTGGAAAAAGGGCACAAAAATTACTTTCCCCGAGAAAGGAAACCATGAACCCGGTTTCACTCCATCTGATCTAATCTTTGTGATAGACGAGAAACCGCATGCCATTTTCACGCGGGACGGGAATGATCTGATTGTCAATCAGAAAATCTCTCTTCTCGAAGCCCTCACCGGGATTACCCTCAGTTTGACAACCTTGGACAGAAAGAACCTCACGATCCCGGTTACAGAAATCGTGAAACCAGGCCATGAGGTGGTTATCCCGAACGAAGGGATGCCGATCTCGAAAGAACCCAACAAGAAAGGCCAACTCAAAATAAAATTCGATATCATCTTTCCCTCGAGGCTCAATGCAGAGCAGACGTCTGATCTGAAGAGGGCCCTGGGGTGAGCTGATAAATAGCAATATAATCCATGCCGGAGTTCACAATTGTCTATTTAACACCGATCGATATTGATTGTCAAGTTGATGTAAATAGGTTTAATTCTCGACTACTAAAAGATTAGGGATCGAAAGGGTTGTAAATAGTGTGTTGATAGAGTGAGTGACTATCTGCCACTGTGTTCTAATTGGGAAATTTTATATACACTTTGTATATAGTGCTAGTGTGGCGTTGGAAGTTGAAGGAAAGACCTTTCTGTGTTGCTAAAATGTCTAATTTTATAAAGTCCTTTTTGTGTTGCTGTAAAGCATGACCATATGTTCTTTTGATTTCTATAGTTTAAAAGATTGTTATTGATAAGATTACTGCATTTACCTCTTTAGACAGGGTTAAAAGTGCTTTAATTTCACTCATGGGGTTAAAAGGCTGCATTGATTGCGTTGTTCGTGGAGGAACTAAGTTGGTGGCCGGAGCAGAGCAATCAAACGAGGAATTGGCTTACGATTTGGCAAGCGCTGCAAAGTTGCATGCATGAATGGATGAAAATGCTTCAGAGAATAAAAGCATAAAGGTATTATGGGTGGGATTGTGTTCATATCAGATTTATGCATAAATTAAATATATTTCAGGTTTGTTTTCAACAATAATATTTAAATTTTCCTTGAATGATCATCAATTAAAATGATAAAATATAGAGCTATGTTGAAAGAAGTTAAGTCATTAAGAAAACATTAGTGTGTATTAAATTAACAACATAATTTCTTCTACTGGATTTATTATTTGAATAAAATGAAATTTTATGTTTACGGTGAATTATAAACTTTTAAAGAATAAGCATATATAATTTTATTGTAATAAAAAATAAATTATCAAAAAATTACTTAAATTATAGGAGAATTTAATTTTTTTAGGTGAATGATTCAATTCTTTTAATCCATTTATGATAATGAAGATTACTTATCTCTCAATAAAATTTAAAGAATAAATTATATTTCTTAAATAAGATTAGGGATTTAAATTCTAACGTTTGCAAATCGAACAACATATATTAAAAAAAATTAACTCCTTAATAGACCTCTAAAATTTAATATGGATTTAACGACTATTAAATTAAACATCAGTAGTTAATTCAAGAAAACTATCATAAATAAATGAATATGGATCATATTAGAATAGTAGTGGGGGAAGTTCTACCGTTCGACAACCTTAATATACGATTAAAGAAAGACGCTAGCGAAAATTTTATTATTTTTTTAACATTTTCTGTAAAAAAATTACCTAAAACATTATTATTTCTACCGGAAATGTTATTATTGGGCGCTTTATTGGTTTGGTAATATATCCTATAAAACGTTACCTAAAATATTATTTTTTTATCGGATATATTATAAAACCTGATAAAACGCCTAATAATAATATTTTCAGTAAAAATAATAATATTTTAGATAATATTTTTACTAAAAATATTAAAAAATAATATTTTCAATAATGCTTTTCTTTATCCATATATTTGATTACCGAACGTAAGAGTTACCCATTTTAGTGTAGGCAAGCAAAATCAAGAAGTGAATAATTGGACACAATCAATCACGTGATGTGAATCTGATTTCAGCTTCTCATAACGTCCTATCTCCCACTAAACCCTTATCCGCATCTAAAATACAGCTTTATTCTAATACCACATATTAACATAAAAAAATCACTTTTAATATCCTATTAATTTCTCATAATAAATTTAATAATATCTACAAAATTATGTAGACGAGTGAACCTGGTGAGTTATATTATATTCCTGAAAATTATTTTTTTATTTAATGAATTAATTTACTTTAGAAACTAATTAAAAAATAATTATTATTCTTAGAGATATTAGGTTCGAGTATAAGAATGTTTAAGCTTTTATTGTTAAATTATAAATCTTAGAACATATACTAAAATATTATTTTGTAAACATCTTAAATTAATAAAAAAACATATTCTCTTATTCATTATATTTTAAATTGTCATTATAGATATTTTTATTCATACAATCTTCATTTAACTTGATATTATGAATTAATTGAATTTTTTATTTCATACTTTTTACTTTACTAAACATTAGAACTAAAAGCTTTATATTTTGGTATCTATTTTTTATTTAATTATGTATTTTAAATTTTTATAAGATTTAATTTAATATTTAAATTTATTTTTAATCTGATTAAGTATCTATATTTAATTTGTTGGTTTAAATTGATATTTCATTAAATTTATGAGCTAAATTTTATAAATAATTTTTGCATGTTATTATTCTAGTAAAAAGGCGATTGGGACAGTGAAAATTTGCCCGCCCAAAATGTATCTAAAACGGTGCTACACCTCCGCGTTAAATAAGGGTTACGCTTTTCGGTAGTATTGTTCGTTACTTGGCTCTATTTCCCTCTTATCTTTCCTTTCCCTTTCCCTCACTCTATACGCCTTAAAGTACCTGAAGATGGAATCTTTTTGATCAGTTATTGGTTTCCGTTTTACCTGTCAGCAAAGTGTTCGGAGACATGCCTGAACCATGGCCACCTTCACCACCTCCAGCCATATTTTCGTATCACCGCATTCGTTTCTAACACACTTCCGTGCTCGGGTTTTCCCATCCTGTTTCTGCGGGATTAGCCACGGAAATAAAAGGAATTCGGTGTCTCTGAAGCTGAATCCTGTGCGTGGTTTGGTGTTCGGGGAAGAGAAGAAAAGGGTTTCTTGTTGGTGCAAGAAAGGGTGGGACAACGACGGGGATTTGGCATTGGAGGCTGAGATATTGAGGTTCATGAGAAATAGTGACAAACCCGAGGCTTTTCCTAACCAGAAGGAGCTGCTTAATGCTGGGAGGATGGATCTGGTTGAGAGGATTAAGATACAAAGAGGGTGGCTTGCTATGGGCTGGGACTTGGATGATGATATTGATAATCGACATGGATTTCCAGAAAATACGTTCCCAGAAGATGGTGTCAGGGATTGGGACATTATGGAGGAGAAGAAGAAATGGGATTACCAGACTCAAGAAAGGGCTCGAACTGAAGTTGAAAGTAATGGGACAACTAATTTGGCTGTTAGTTCTTCTAGCTCACCTTCCTCGTCTGGTAGATCACTGTGAGATTTTTAATTCTTTGGGATTTTACTTCCTTAGTTTACCTTTTTGCGTGGAAAGCTTAGTTCTTGCACTTGTTGTTCGAAGGCCTTATTGAATTTTGTTCTCTGTTGTGCTATCATTCTCGTGTTAATCTTTCTTTCATGTAGAAAAGGTGTTTTTCTTGGACTTGCTATTGCTTGTGAGATGTTATTTGAATTTGGATGTGCTATGATTTTAGAAGAACCAATCTTGTGGAATTTCTTTTTGTAGTTATATATTTGTCATGTTTGGAATTAGTAAACAATTGCGAAGTTAAATGTGTTACTTCCAATGAGTTTATACTTTTTCCTGCAAACCACTTAATCTCTTTTTGAAATGAGAACAAAGGGGAGAATGCTGGAATCATGGGTGATTTGTGTCCTCGGTAGGGTTTTGACACATGTTTTTGTTTGTTCAGAGAAGTAGCAGCTGAGGATGATTGTGGCATTAACGGTATTCTGAGTCGTTTAGAGAAAGAAAGGAATATGAACTTTGGGATTGGTTTCAAAGAGAATGGTTTCAATACTTGTTCCCAAACTAACTGTACTGAAGAAGATTCTCTTGTCCAAGCCTCAATAGATTTGGTATATTGGGTTTATTAGTTTCAAAATCTTTCTCACATCCCTGTATCATTTTTCAGCTTATACATGTTTCATATTTTACTTATATGAATAAAGATATTTTATATACTTTCTAGGATAATTATGTCTCCACAACTGTTATCGATGTCTCCTCCATCTTAAACTTAATTCTGTGTGCTTACATTTGACCATCAGCTTTCTTCTGTGTAATTTATAATTCATAACCTTTTGTGTTTGTTATGTTGTAAAAGACAGTTGGTAGTCCTCGTAGAAAAATACTTGCATCATTCAGCAATAGTCCTGGCCCAGTCAGTGATACCAATGCCAATTTTGGTCAGAATCAGTCTCTATCAGGCATTGATGGTTTAAGCAATCCAACATGGAGAGAGTGGAGCCTTCAAAGAGCAGGATTTTCTGGCAAGGAATATGAAGGTAGCCCATCTATTATTTCCGGATGTTTCATATCTGAAATTTGTATATTAGACACTTCTATTTGTACTAATGCAACTTACAATTGCTGAAATTATCTCCAATGGAATGAAATTTCCAACAGATATTTCAGGTTATAAGTCACTTGAAATAAGAAATAAATCCAATGAGCTAGACAGAAGAAAAGAGTCACGTGCTTGTGGAAAAGTTATTAACGACAATGAAATACGAAGTCGTCTTGAGCACTTGAAGTTGGAGCTTTCATCTGTATTGCAGACATTGAGGTCTAATGCTAATGAGGTTTTACCACGGGAGGTGAGCAAACGATCTCTGTTTCCATTTTTTTTATTAGCTTCATGTGACTACTTTGCCAGATTCTTTTTTGTCCCCCCTCAAAATGGAAGGCTAATCAAAAGTATTTTGTAGCTTCCCCTTTGCTTGATTACTAGGTAATTGAAAGACAGTATAGCTCTTTTTGCAATTCAGTTGTTTTTTTTATTCAAGATAGTTTCTTTACAAGTTAAATAAGACCTCCTTTCATGTTTATTAATTTAGAAATACAAATAGAAAGAACTGGGAAAACAAATGAAAAACCAGAGGATGGAAGGAGAGTATTAGAGGTGGAGGCAGCTAGTTCTATTCCTGGTTTATTCTCTGAAGGAAGAAAGACTGAACAAGTGATATTTATGCCAGTGCAAGGAATAAAGCTCTTATGTTCTTAATCTCTGTCTTGGGGATCAGTTATTCATGACTTGTAGTTATGAGATTTTCTTTTGTTATCTTTCTCTTTAGGATCTGTTTGTTTACAGCATAATTTAAACTGGAGGAGTGCTTTGAAAAAGATGAAGAAAATTGAAACTTTATTTTGTCAACATGTGCTGACTGAAGATTTAATTGGACTTCTGGATTACTTAGGAACCTCCTATTGTGCAGTTACCTTACATTTATTTTTAGTTTTTTACTAACTTTTAACTCTGTTACCATAATCCCTAGGGTGATGGAAGTTCCACTGATGATTTTCGTAAGCTTTCTGATGCTTGGGAGTTCCAGGAAAATGAGATATTGAATGCCCAGGACAATTTGCGATCACTACGGGCAAGGTTGGCAGTTTTAGAAGGGAAGATGGCACTGACAATAATGTATGCGCTACTCATGCTAGTTTAAGAAAATACCAACCTTATTTTACTTCTCATGCTAATTTAAGAAAATATATACCTTATTTTACTTAACTCATGCTAGTATAAGAAAATACCTACCTTATTTTACTTCAAAAGCATCATATTTCTACGCTCCTTTGACAGAGATGCACAAAAGACTGTGGAAGAGAAACAGAAAAGGATTGATCATGCTCGTAGAGCGCTACAGGTTCTTCGTACTACTTGCATAGTGTGGCCTATTTCTGGATCAGAGGTGCTGTTAGCAGGATCATTTGATGGGTGGGCTACCAAGGTTTGCTCACACCTCAAACTGACTAGACAGAACTGATAATGACATTTTTCTTGATCATTGCATTCATTAATTACTGTGCAAGTCGAGTCTCGCTGATAAAGCATGTACATAAACTACCTGTTTTTGCTTGAATCTCTCCTGACTTCATAGTCTTGTTCTATCTGTAATTATGCTGATAGCTTTAGGGGGGAAATGTTTTTAATGCTTTATAGAAAAAAAGATCGGCAGTTAATTTGTTGCGGAAAATAAAAAAATTGAACTAAAGATGCAAATAAGCAGATACTTATGTGCCTAGACCTATAATTGCTTAACTTTAGAATGATGGAGATACATGCATCATGTCCCAAAAAGGAGCTGTGAATTCTGTATTGGTTAGGTACTACAGTTCAAATGAATATATAAGTGTTCACAATGGTTTTCAAGTTGTGAGGCTTCCTTTGGAGCGGACATACTAGAGTTTGATTGGGCATTTCTTTAATTTGTGAAGCCTTTTGAAGAGAGCTGTGAGGGAATATGGGCTGAGGTAGATGACACTTTACACGTAGGGATGGACTGTAACATGTTATTTACCTGCAATGTCCTTGCTTTTTGGTAAAGCAAAACAGGCCTGTTTTCTGTACTTACTCTGTCCGTTTGAATGCTCTATATGGGTTGCTGACTTGCTGTGTGTCTGCAATAAACTTTCCGGCAGCTCCCGCTTCATGTTTGGTGGGTCGAGTGCACACTTCCTTGCTTTAGAAATTTCTATGTTGTATGTCATTGTCAACAGGAAGTACTGCATTCATGTTGTCAAGTTATGGTGTTTCTATTTCCTTAGGAGAGGCATGTGTGTGTTCTCTACTTTAAGCTCCCGTTTAGAAGTGGAGATGCCAAGAATTCATGCATTCAGTTCTAACTTTGAAGGACTGACAATAGGATTCTGTTGTGTTTTAACCTGTGCATATATTTGAAAACACCATTTTTCACCGTTTGTTGTGTTAGTGTGAGTCAGACAAGTGGTAAGTTGGCAGTTAGTGGTTTAAAGCTGACCCTATTCCCATATGTAATGGGGTAAGGGGAGGTAGAGTAGTAGGCTGCCCAACGGCAGGTTGAGAGCAGGCTTCCGTGGAAGACCTCCGTTATGAATTGCCCTCAGTGGGACTCGATCCCACGACCACAAGGTTAAGAGCCTTGTGCTTTACCAACTGAGCTAGACGGCAAGACTAGTGGTTTAACATTCTTGTAAATCTGGATACTTGTCATTTTTTGGTAGCTTATGAATTACGGTCATAACTTGCAGAGAAAAATGGAGAAGTTGAGCAGAGGTGTTTTTTCTGTACACTTGGAGTTGTATCCAGGGAAATACGAGGTGCATATTTTTGTCAACTTTGTTTTGTTTCTAATTTCTGTTAATATTTACTTACATGATGGATAGCTCAGCACCTGTACCTTGTGTAGATTAAATTCATTGTTGATGGTGAATGGAAGGTTGATCCCTTGCGCCCTGTCGTTAACGACGGTGGATTTGAGAATAATCTACTTATCATAAGGAGCCAGGCTTGCGGAGGCATGTTAAGATAATTCATCACAAAAATGGTAGGACATAGGAGTAAATGCAGTTGATTTTTCTTTTTAGTTTCCAATTTCCTTCTTGTAAACAAGAAGAACAGAGCTGGTAGAAGTTTGATTTAATGATTCTTTTTCAAGGGGCATCATATAATGAATGTAACAAAACCATATCGGACCACCGTCCGATACCCATTCTCTCTTAAATGTTGTGTTTTTACCTTGTTGATAATGCAAAAATCTACGCGAGATGATATTACCTTGATCATATATTTTTTAGAAGTCGTGAATTGGTAATAGTTGATGTAGAGATTGGAATTTCAAATATTAAAAATTCGGATAAATACAATATGAGCACCACTTTTATATGGGAACGTTTATTGGTTTCAAATTCAAATATTACAGGAATTATATGTATCCGACATATTATCACGTGTAACCCCACTTCGCCACAGCAGTCGCATGCATCTGATTACAAATTCATCTTATCAACTATATATACACGGAAAGTTAGTAAATGGGAAAGCAGACAAAGAATAGCTTCCACCAGGCATCGGCTGCCACGTTGTATCATTCCTCTCCATTCGATTGATCAAACCATATCTCTAGTCTATGGAATTACAGGTTTGGGAGTGGGTCGGAGACCAAGGGCACGTGGATGATTAAAACTTAACCATCACTCTGACCGTGGACGGAGGTGGTCGGCAGGGGAAAATATCTGTAGTCATCGCTCAGCACCATTTATCTACTCATCCATTCTCCGTCTTTATAATCTTCCCTTCTTGGTCAATTTTAACTTTAAAGCTTCTAATTTTAAACTAAAAGATATAGGAATGAAGCAGTTTTGATCGAGTATAATTAAATGGAGGGGTATGTCAACATAAAAAAAAAAACATGAAAACGTGTTTGAGCAATTGAAGCTTGTTATGGGAAAATGCTGATGGAATGCATCGACTAATAAGTTGTTCAGTTTTTGAGTGCAGCAAGCAACATGTCGAAGTCCACTCTTTTAGGCTGATTTAGCTAAGGCAACACTCGGCGATAAGATTTGGTGAGCCCAGCAGCTGAATGAACGCCTCGGGAAATTGGAATGATACAATCAAATAATTTCAATTTTTATTTTAAATTAAAGACGAGACTTTTTTAGGTAGAAACTAGAAAGGATTTTTGTCATCTGATCCAATTTGCATCATCAAGATTCTGTTTATCAACGCACGTCATCTTTTATCAATTAACAAGTATGGATAATATCATAAACAAAAATATATTCTATTATTTAACCATTAAAAAGTTTGTATTCTATTAAGCTTTCGTGAAAAAGATTTACGATAAACTACATATTTAATACTTAAATATTTTTATTTTGGGAAGTTAAAAAGTCCAATTTAGGTTGCGTTAGAGTTTCTGCCCTGCTTTTCTCTCGACCGCTTAACCGTCTGTGCAAGGTTTTTCCCTTTATTCAACTGAAGGAGATTTCGAAAGAAACCCGTCCAATACAGATTTCAATCTTGCAAAGTATTTGCTATTTTCAACAAACGAACATTACAGCGTTAGAGCGCACGCTGGAGGAGTTGGACATCGGAGAAGATGAGGAGGAAGTAATCGCAATTGAACAACAAAACGTGAAGGAAGGGATTTTGTTTGAAAACTGCTTCGTGGGGATGTTTTTAACAGCCAGTTTAGTAAACTTCCAAGCGATAGAAAACAATTCTGGCAAACGTCTGGAGACCGATAGGAGGCATATCGATTATCGAATTAGGAGAAGGAAGATCTCTCTTCTGACTGTACCACAAGGTTGATGTAGACAGGATTGAAAACGAAGGGCCATGGTATTTCAATTCACACATATTGGTTTTCTATAAACCGCAAGAAGGGAAGGATCCGAGTTCAATACCACTCCATACAGTAGATTTCTGAGTGCAAATCAATGAATTACCAATAGGCTTTATATCAGAAGATGTCGCAAAGCAATTGGGGAATTTCATAGGAAATTCATCTCATATGATAAGACAGCGATCTCAATAGGATACAGAGGAAGAATCAGAGTCATGGTAAAGTTGGATTTGAGATACCAGCTAAAAGGAAGGACTATCAATACCAAACGAAAAATTCAGCTATGCTTCTTTTCAATATGAAAAGCTAAGATTATTTTGTTATCTGTGCGGCAAACTAGGTCACGGAGAGAGTTTCTACCCTATTCGATTAGTGAAAGAACAAAACGAACTGCTGCCACAATGGGATGAATCCCTCAAAGCACAACGAGGCAAAGAACATTCCATACAAGTATATGGCTACGTGAGGAGGGCTTTCAAGCAGCAACAAGAATGGAGGAGGGCCAACCTATAAAGTCAAGGAACGATAATGCAAGACAACCAATGGTACACAAAGGTGCTCAATTTAATAGTGAGGTTGTTCAGACACCAAAACTGAAACCAGGGGAACCAACGTGGGTAAATGCCATAATAAAGAAGACTTTCACATCCAATAGAGAACATATGCCAGCTACACAGAGATGATGATAGTAGAGGAATATTTGCCTATACAAAAAGATGAGGGTTTAAAGAGACAACGACAACTACATTCAACAAGATTCCAAGAATGACAAAAATTTGATATCCGCAGGCCTGAGGAACCAGGCCATCCGGATGCCATTCTAAGTTGGAACATCCGGGGTTTGGGTGAACCTCGGGCGGTTAACCGTCTCCGACACATGTTGAGAGACATTAACTCATTTGTAGTTTTCTTATCCGAAACAAAACTGCAGAGTTCGCGCATGGAGAAAGTCAGAAGATCACTAGGATATCTACATGAAATTGAGGTAGATTCACGAGCAGCAACGGCGGATTATGTTTGGCATGGAAAGGATCGCTAGATGTTACACTCAGGTCTTTTTCAAATTCACACACAGACGTGGTAATTTCATATTTAACCGAAAACAGTAATTGGAGATGCACAGGTTTTTATGGAGCGCCAGAGGAAAATAAAAGAAGATTTTCTTGGGAACTATTGAGACAATTGAATGATAATCCAAGCTTCCCCTGGATGATTATAGGGACTTCAACGAGATCTTATACTCGTTTGAATAACAAGGGGTGCTTCACGAAATGAGGCAAATATTCTATACAATCGTACCTTAGTTCTTTGAGTTTGACGTCTATGTTTTTATTAAAATGATCTCGTTTTGAAACGAGAATCAATGTTCGATACAATCGTACCTTCGTTCTTTGAGTTTGAAGTCTATGCTTTTATTAAAATGATCTTGTTTTGAAGCTTCTCGTTTCTGATTAGTAAACTGTTCAATATTTTTTTATTGAAGTAAATTTCGGAACGCGGTTCTATAGCGAATTCCACATAGAGAAGAAGGAAACGAAAAAGAAATGTGGATTGTTTTTTTTAACTGTCAAATCAGACTTTTGTTAATGGATTAACGAGAGTTAACAATCAAAGAATCAAAACTGAATAGATCGATAACGTAACGAATCAAAACTATTTTTTTAAAAATCAATGACCAAAATTAAATGGACCAAAAACATTGGGAACCATTCGTATAGTTTACCCTACTTTTTAATATTGTGATAAATCTATCCTTAACCCAAAAATGTATCACAAATATTGATAGAAGTAAAATATAAGGGTAGATTTTAAATTCAAATGATAAAGGGTAGTACGTTATTTTATATGCGACTTAAGTTTGAGTAATATTGTATATAAAGTGTATACGATTTTATTTAGGGTTAAGACAAATACTACTCTTAGATAAATTAAGAATAACAAAAAAAAGTTAAAATACAAAAATGGTATCTCGATTATAGGATAGTATTTTATTGAGTCATTCAACTATTAAAAGTTATAAAATAATTCATCGACTATCGGAAGTTGCTTTGTTGAGTCCCTCTACTATTAAAAGTTATAAAATGATCACCCGACCATTCATCATATTCCAAACTCGTCATTTTTCGTTAAAAAAATTAATGATGGTCTGAGCTGGATGTTAACATGCTGACTAAGATGTAATAGTTATTTGAAATTATGAGACCATATTTTATCATATCTTAGTCAGCAAGTTAACGTCCAGCTCATATAATCGTTATTTTTTTAATAAAAAATGACGATTTTGGAATATAATGAATAGTTGAGTGACCTTTGTGTAACTTTTAATAGTCAAGGGATCAACCAAGCAACGCCCTATAGTTGAAGGACCATTTTGTAACTTTTAATAGTCAGAGGACTCAACAAAGTAGTATCCTATAGTCGAGTGACTGTTTGTATACTTTACCCAAAAAATAATAACTTAAGTTTAATTGCCAAAAAATATCTATTAGACAAACCCTATAAAATGTCAATTTTATTTTTCTTACCTGTTATTTTCCCAGGAAAACTGCACATTTCTGTTCTAAAAGCTATGGATAGATTCAAGCATGGCTCAGAAAAAACAAATAATAGTTGAACTTGAAGAAGATGGTATAGATTTTTTTCAAAACAAGGCTGACAAAGGACCACAATTATTTTTCCTTTCGTTGGGTCACTTTTCTTTAAAAAAAATATTTCAAATACTAAAATAATAGTAATATTTTTTGTCAATTGTATTATTAATTGAAAAAACATGACACCCTTATTCGAACGAAGCTGATGAGACATAATGATATACTTGGGAGTCATAATTATGAGATTGTTATGTATGAAAGCTGTAATTTTAAAATTGTTTTTGTGTACGAATCAAGTGACTTTAGTGATTGAAGAGATGATTGTTATTCATAGAAGGTTCGAGTTCGAGGATGACGTTTACAACAGTGCTGGGTATTCATTATCAAATGATTAAGAGTCTTTTGAATATATATGACATTATAATTACCCAATATTAATTAAAAAATCGTTCATGTATAATGTATTATCAAGAAACACATTATTAATGGAATTGAAATATGATACAGTTCTGTTAGTTTCATTCTATTGAAAAAAAGGCTTGGGCTAAGCCTAGTCTTACTAAAGCTACACAAATCAATTAAGGAATGTCTTAAAATTAAGGGTTCATTTTGGCCCATTTCCAATTGACAAGTAAGGAGGATTTCAACCGATTTGAAATTTTAATTGAATAAAAAAGAAGTCTTGAATTATCACTTGAAGATAAATACTTGATTCAAATAATTCTTTGGATATAGGTTTGATTTTTCAACAACTTTGGTAATGAGGAGTTCAAGTTGAAACAATTTCTTTGGATTGTCATAATTAAGACAATGAATTGTTTTGCCCTAGTTTTTATTCTAAAACGA